AACATTAGGATAATGAAAAAACTACACTAGATCGGGTACATTGTTCAAATGCTATTTGCAGTTAATTTATCTCGGACGGCCACCATTTTACGTTGCTATTCACTTTTAAAAACACTTTTACTTGAATTAGTTTTCACTTGACATAAATCCTTTGCCAATTCAATGGGTTTTAATACGGATTTTATTTAATTTTCTGCACGCACTTAATGCTTTATTAGAATTAAGAAGAAATGACTACGTATGTGAACATAATGAACGTCAGCCTCTTAGAATTATTTATTTTCTCTACATATTTACATATGACGCATATGGCGTTCGTGCGATGTGGCCATCTTGAGAAGTACACGATCGGGTGCTTTCGCGGCGCTTCGGAATCATGTTCCCTGGCGCGAATTAGTGTTGTAAGATCGAAAAAATAGGTCGAAGGAACATCGATATATAAAGGCGTTCAATTATAATAAAATTTAGTAAAATGTAAGAGGACTTATGTAATCTAGATAATAATCAATTTAAGCAAAAATAACTCTAAATAGTATTCAAATGTACAACTTTTCTTTAATGATCTGATTTTTTCATATTTTTTTTTAATATTTATTCAAGTATTTTTTAACGTTTTTTAATATTTCCATTACACAACAAATATTAATTTAGTCACAATTGTACTATCTAAAATTTTGAAAAATTCCCTCAAACTGTGTTTATCCAAATTTATAAAAACAAGATTAGTTGTTAGTGGCATTTTGCACTAAAATAAATCACAAATACTTGTTTTTAGTATAAAATAATCGACTTAATTAATGCTAATTGGTATATACCAATTTTGTTGAATGTAATGATAAAATTGTTAATAGTTTATTTTGAAAATAAAATGTATCATCTCAAATTTCAATTTTGTTGTTATAATTAGACCACTTTTTATGAGTTTAATTAAATACGTTGAATTAATTATGTTTCCACAAATATTTACGAAAAAATGATTGGTCGATGCTTAAAAACTAATAAACCTCATTTCTATCGAATATCTTTCGAATATTTTTTGAGTTTTCAAAATCGATTCAAGATTATTGGAAAAACGTTGGTAAAAAACTTTACTCTTTGCTGTTAATTTCAAAAAACGGTTTCTTCATCAAGTTTCATCCAATGATTTTAAAATGTTTAAAATCTGTTCAGCAATTTTTCAAAAAAAACATCGATAAAATATCAAACCTTGAACACGCTAAAATGTTGGTGTCAAAAGATTCAGAATGACTTAAAACTTCTAGATAACAATATTAACAAATATGATATTCTTATTATATCTATACTATATAAAAACATAAAAATAGAGTATTTTATTAACATAGGTATATATAAGTATGTATCAAATAAATTTACCTAATTTTCTTTCTTTAAAATTTCAAAAATATTCCTATTATTTCAATATAAGCATTAAACGCAACTTGATAAAATAAATTTTTGAAAAAAAGTATGTTTATTGTTTATCGAGTAAAAAACTAGTATTTATTCATATTTGGCAAGAATTTGAACCAGTTTCAGAGTAAATCAAGTTTTTAATACAAAGAATTATACACCCCATTTGTAAACTTGAATTGGAATCCCTTACACTTTATTTGAGTTTTATGTCTTAAATTTAACCCTTTCCAAAGAATATAATAAATTTAATATATAAAAACACATGAAATATATTTTTTGTATTGTTTATAACAAAATAACTACATCATTTTAGACGATTTTTTAATTGTAGAGTATCTTATGCATATGTTTAAAATATATTAAATATACAACGTGCAAAAATCGTAATATATTTCTAAAATGTATATATTTTCAATAAGATAACTTAATTCTTAAATAAATAATTCTACCAATTTATTGTAAATACTCAATTATAGAGTCGAATGCAAAGGTTGATGAATGCAAGAATAATTTATAATATTAAATTTCAATTTGTTTATATTGTTTCTAAAGTTTCTTTTGCTATTATTGAAACATCTAAAAACATTAGATAGTTTTCATTAAAACTCAATAGAAAATAATAGAGAGTGCTTTCAATGAAACTTCTCAATGATGACAAAAATATTATAAAGTATGAAATTTTACAATAATATTACAAAGTATGAATTAATTAAAATATGTAACTTTTCTAACTTTAAGTTAAAACTAGTTGGTTTGGTATTTAGCCTTGAGGCAAGTTACATGAACTTCCCGATATGCGTAAATAATCGACTTATTCAAAAAAAAAGTGTAAATAATATAGTTTATCAATCCTACTTTAAGAAAAACGATAATAATTTTAGCAAAGTTTGACAATTTTTTAAAATTAAACTACTTGTCGTAAGGCCGTAATATTACAGCAAGTTCTATAAGACCATGATGTATATCGCCAAAAAAAGTTTCATGAAAATCGGCTTAAATCTTTTTTTCAACAGTTCATTACAAGAAAACGGCTCGATAGATTTTCACCTAAAATTAATCAACACCATTCCCAACTAATATCTTTCGAACAGTTTTTGATTTTTTGAAATCGGTTTGGTAGTATAAGCTTAAATGTGGACGAAAGGTTTAACACTTTTTTTCCAAATTACAAAGAAACGGCTCGGCCAATCGTCGCACAAAACTGAGAAACGATAATACTCATCTAGATACATCAAATGCTTTTTAAATATCTGAAATCGGTCCGGCCGTTTTTGAGCAAACGTCGATGAAAGTTCTAATTTTGACAAATGCCAAAAAGATCATACTAATTTTTGCAAACTTTGACGAATTTTTAAAGCTAAACCATTTGTCGTAGGGCCGTAATATTTTAGTATGATCCAGAAGACTATGGTATCTACCGTCAAAAAAATAATCATAAAAATCGTCGAATTTTTTTTTTTTGAAAACTTAATTACAAGAAAACGGCCCGGCCGATCTCTACCAAAAACTAATCAGCACGATTCCCAACCAATATCTTTCGAACGGTTTTTGAATTTTCGAAATCGATTCAGAATTGCGGGCTAAAACGTAGACGAAAAATTTTTCACTTTTCTGCGATTAATTAAACAAAATTAACAAACAATAGTCCTCATGGAAATACATCGAGTGGCTTTTAAATTTTTGAAATCGGTCCAGCCGTTTTCGAGAAAACGTCGATTTACGGCAAAAAATTTGTTCACATACACGCACACACACACATACACACACACACACACACATACTTTTTCCAAAGTTGGTCTCATTCGATTCAGAATGGCTTGAAACGTCGAGAAAACATAAAATTAGCAATTCGGATTTTTTGATGAAAACATAAACTTCTCCTTCGGGAAGTTAATAATAGTAAAAAAATCGAAAATAAAAATTTCAACATATATTTATGTTTCAAGACCTTCTGAACACTTTGTTATTGCTTATTTTTAGAAAAAATTGTTGTATGTGTGCGGTGCGGATGCGGTCGTGAATTTGAAAGATCGAAAAAACATTCGATTTATTGGCAAAAACAAGTCGAGCCGTTTAGAATGATAAACGGTAAAAACCGCCAAAAATGGCAAATCTGTTTTTGAGATAACGACGCGTCCAATTTAGATGATTTAAGAATCATTTCACGTGTTTCGACGATATAAAGAATTGTTGTAATTTTTGGAAAAGCAAGTCGAGCGGTTTCGAAGATTTAATAAAAACGTTAAAAAAATGCCGTTTAGCGATCAAAAATGTTAATTAGATATATGCAAATTATCAGATATTTTATAGAAATTTCAATAATGTGTATCAATTTTGTTTACATTTTTATTGGTTTTGCGCCAAAATGTATAACATTTATTCGTGAATCTACAACGCAGCGGTTACGCGCTTTTATACGTATTTCATTTCTAAAAAAATCAGGTTTTTACAGCTTTCAGGTTTCTCAAAAAAGAAACAAAATACTTTTCAAAATTTTTTAAAAAAAGTTTAAAGTTTAGCGAGTTTCAGCGAAGTGCCTTAAGGCACGGTGCAATTTATAGATATAAGTGTATATAATTTATAGATATAAATATTATTAATAGATAGGAGTGCATTGCGGTTCTACAAGTTTTTAGTAAAATCTTGGCAGGGGCTCTATTTTTTTGCTAAAGTCCATAAGATTAATTGGAACTCTATTAACTTGTTTGATAACTTTATCAATGGATAAAAGAAAACAATTGTCAATTGTTTCACTACTTGTTATGTGTATTTTTTTTCTCTCTTCTCTACAATTCGATATCGAACGTCGGCTGCGTCGTTTCGTTGTTTGTCTTTTCGTTATTTTGTTTGGTTTGACACCGATGTCGTGCCCCCACTAAGGCGCCTATAAAAGCATCGGTCGCCAGTTGGCTGCGTCAGTCGAGTAGAGAACTTGTAGTACAAAAGAGAGTATAAGACATGGTAGAGAGGAGTGGGCTTACTGAATATTATTTAGTTATAGTCAAATTCAATTTATACAAAAGTAAACCGTTCAGAACGCGATAGCGCCGCGGCCGAGATTCATTCGATTCGATTTGATTTGATTTGATTTGAATTGATTGAAATCGTGTGTTATTCGTGTCGAGCACAGGGGACTCGATTTGATATTAGAAAGTCGGCTCGGGCGTCCATTTTGTCGAGTCAACTCACAACACAATCAACCCGTCGTTGTCGCGCGTATTATTATTACGAGTACATATGTGTGCATGTGTTTGAAACATACGGGTGATACATGAAATACACAACAGCTGTCGATTTTTGTTGTTGTTGTTGTACAAAGTTGCTTGTTTTGTGCCCCCATTAATCTCAATAAAACAACAATCGAATCGGGGTCTGTTTAAAAGAAAGTGCCGTGCATCATTTCACTGTGATAGTTTCAAGCAAGCATTGGCTTTCTGTTAACTTTATTGGTGACTAAACAAACTATTCAAAAAAAAAGTCAGTGCCATTTCAAAATCCAAGACAGCGGTCGATGTGTACGGTTTGCTAGCGAACGCAAATCGTCTCTACATTCAACACAAAAAAGACTTCGTAAGTCATTTATTACCATGACGAATTCTCACAGTCGCGCCGGAGCCACCGCCACGGCGACTCCGGGTCGCAGGGGGGCGCCGCGCAACAACAAGTCGCCCGGACAGACGTACTTCAATAGCTTCGTGACGCCGCCGAGGGGCTCCCACTGCAGCAAGACCAGCGGCGACTTCCAGCCGAGCAGCGCTCACCGCCTGTCGCCGGGGGCCCTCGAGCGTTTCGCCGCCAGCAAGTGGGGCGAAGCGCCCGCACCGGCGTCGCTGCCCAGGCCGCCCGTGCACTGGAGACTCTACATGAGCAATAAAGGTACGACCGACGATTTTTCCAACAATCTAAAGTTGCTATTGAACGTACAAGCCTAACAAAAACGCCGTATTACACCGACCAATTTTAATAATTTATCCAAGTACTGAGCGAACAATCAATTGCAAATGCGATGCGATGCGATGAATTCAATTCTTACGATTAATAATTAGCGTTATAATATTACATCTACTATATTCGTATATAAATAAAACTGAGTGATAATTGATTATGAATGGAAATGAAATTTAAATGAAGTAAGTGTAGTGAGTGTCTCCGTGTAGTTGTATAAATCGACAGCAGGTTTTTTTAATCAGATGAGAGAACTGTGTCGTAGATATTTTTAAATTTAGTTGTCTTAAGATCCAAATAGTGATCCCCATCCCAACCCGAGTAAGTGAGCTTGACCATGTAGTACTAACAACATTAGAGACGGGTTTGTGTACAAAACAATAATACATATTAATAATAATATAGAAAACCCGAACTTTTTTTACTCGTGGGCATAGTTTATAGATATTTTATATAATGTCCACTATTTTTAATAATTATAATTGTATCGATGAGACAATGCCGATATATGAATTGTGATAAAATTGGTTTTAAGCGTACAATATTGTCCAGCTCGCTTACCACATTTTTAAAATATATTTTCTTTTAAATGGAATCAACAAAAGAATGGTGTTTATTCCAAAATGTTGTACGAACAACTGCGGTTTGCAGTCCTTAGTCATTTCGAGAAACATTGTCTTTAAAAATAATAAATAGGGTGTAAGTAAGAGAAAGTACTTTTGTCGGTAGGTGTATCTGTGTGATCACATATAACTATATATTATATATAAATATTAAATCTATGGATAGAGTTACGTTTTAAGTTTTTTTGTACAAAAATTAAAATCAATTTAAAGAGAAACAAGCAAACCAAATTTCTATATCCCTCGACTCGACTTTCTACAGAGGCCTCCTCTACCTTTTTGTGATATATGAATGTTATTATAAAAAAAGTATATCACAAAACTATTGGAGTAATTTTTTCGCCAAAAACTATATGTATACACATAGGGAGGTCATCTTTAATGAAACGTACTTGCATTTAAATTGTTTTTAATTTAATCTAATACATATGTATATCTGTGGAGTCGTTGGTGAAACTGGGTTGATCTCGGGCCACATTCAGTTTTGAAAAATCTCTTGACGTTCACTGCATCGGTTCATTCAGCACTCATTGTTGTGTAAATTTATAGATATAACATAAAATGTGGTTGTCCGATTGCCTTGCCTTATATATTTAATATCAAAAGACTCGAGTCTGTACTCGAGCTGGTTTTGTAACAAATACATTAAATGTATATTGTGCACAAATGATGGCCTAATGGATAAGGCCAGTTCGAGTACAGCTTTTGTCTACTCAGGTCGAATATTTTTCATCAACGACCTCTGTAATATTAGGACCCTTATTTTCGATCATGCTGATATAAATGACATACCTTCTAAATGATTTCTGTTTAATAATTAAAATTATTTTGAACATTGTGACAAGTAGAGCAAAATGTCTCTATTACTAAATAATTATTTTCAATAATTATTTCTAAATCGAGAATGCACAACGTTTTTTTTTTAATATCAATATTTTAAATTAAATTCCTTTTCTTTCAATGAAATATTTTACACTGACAGTTAAAACAAGATGGAGGACGTTTTTATTTTTAAATTTAAAAGTGCACGGAAGGCGCGAATTTTTTATTTGAATCTTATAATTTTTTTTAAACATTATGAAAATGCTTCAAAATTTAAATTTTGCTCGTTTTTGATATAAATTAATCGAGAAATACAAAAATATTTCTTTATACAATTATTAGTTTGACATAAAAAGCAAGATGGATGCCTTATCATTTGTTTTGTTAAGATTTCTCAAATTATGAATATTATATATTGAATGCACACATTACTAATTTTTGCGATTTGAATCTTTATACGTAAATTTATGAATTTTGAGATACTTATGAAATAATTTTTGATATTTAACATTTTCTATTAGGTATATTTTATTTTCAAAGGATTTTTTTAAACGTCACTTTGACAATTGATTCAAGATGGCGGCTTTACGATTTATTTAGATACAAACATATGTTTTGTTTTAATGTACAGTTTTACTACCTTTGCAAATTTTTTTTTTGCAAAAAAGCTTTGAATTTCAGACATTTCTACTTATTTCATGAATTACGAACTTAATCAGATTTTGAAATATGTACGCAATCGATTGATTTCAATAATTCATAGTTTCTCTACAATTCTCTATAAATGAATTATTATCATAATCGCATTTATTATTATGCATGATTACTTTTTAAATTGCAAAATTGCTTCGATTGCACTTAATTACAAAATCATATGATTTCATGTAACATTTGTGACGTTCGTGGCGACAAAATGGCTGCCGCCGTTCTATAAATTGTAATCGTAAACACCAAGTCATAATAATATAATCTCTACTTTAATAAAATAAATGATTTATACAAAATCTAATTAGTTGCAAGATTCGATTTTAAACATACAGACTTTGAAAGCACTTTTAGTTATATAAATAAAATATGCATTCATGTAACTTCCGCATGGTTACAACAGTTTGAATCAGGCAGCAACTTTAGTAAGCAGAAAATACAATATTGCATTTCTAGTTTTATAATTATGAAATTACAAGTAATTTTATATATTTTGTTGACAATTTTTTTGGTAAATGGTAAATTGTCGTGGTGAAGAGCAATACGTGGATGGTGGGATGGGATTATTATTCAGTATTAATAATAAAAATATACACACACACAAAATACACACATATACATACATATGTATATGTATACATATACATATATACATATATATTTACGTAAGACACTTATGAAAAACATAGAGATTGCGCAAGCGCCATTTCAGTAGAACGTCAATACTCCATCCTGGTTTATATATATATATATATATATATATATATATATATATATATACACCTATTTAAATTTACATCAAATCCTAGATTTACATTTGAAGCTTTTTATAGGCCCTATAAAAATAAACACAAGGGTCTCAAAATTACCATTTACGATACGGCAATAACATAAATTTAAGATTTTCAAGAAAAAAATTGGGTTAGCCAATAAAAATTATGAAGAGAAATTTTCTAAATTATGTTTCTTGTTTGTGTAGATTTTATTTTTAAAAAAATGCTATGATATGAATAGTGTTTTAGAACAAAAGTGGTCTAACTTAGTTCAAGAATTAAAAGGCACATATAAATATAAATATTTAACATAAAATTTACAATTTTTCTATTTTTATTTTATTTACAAATAAAATTTATCAACATAAACTCAAAACGTCAAAATTTCAAACATTTTCCAAATTTGGTCTCATACGATTCAGAATGACTTGAAACGTCGAGTAAACATAAAATAAGAGAATCGGATTTTTTGATGAAAACATAAACTTTTCCTTTGGGAAGTTAATACTAAGACATTTTTCCAAATTTATTAAACTTTTTTTATAGTTTTATAATAATTCTGAATCTTTTGTATTGTTTCTTCAGGTTTGTATCAATTTTATATTTGGGCTCTTTTTTTAATTTGAGCAAAGTTTTTATACTTTTATGAATAATTAAAATCAGTCAGAAAGACTTTCATATTTTTTATAAAAAAATTAAGTTGAAATTTTAAACATCAGTTAACAGTATAAAAACAAATTTACAAATTATGAATAATTAAAATCTATCAACAAGAACTTGTTTTTACAAATTGTAAGTCAAAAATTTTACGGCTGTTCTAAAATAGTTAAAAAATAAATTAAAAAAAACTTTTGAATTTTTTTTTCAATAAAAGTATATAAATAACATTTGTTTAAATCAATTTTAATAGTTTTAATTAGCACTAAAACATCAAAACAACAAACAAATAAAATTAATAACTTTATGATGTATATTCCATAGTTTTTCAATATGGAATAAATATCATAAACTTATTATAATTTTATATTTTTTCGTAGTTTTAGTATTTTGTTGCTGATTAAAACATAGAAAAATATTTTAACTTTTTTGTTATGTTGTTCTTGGTAAGAACTGTTGGATGATGACACATATCAAGAGTCGAAACGTACTCAGTAAAAAAATTGTTGATATTTATTTAATTTTCCAGTTTGACCAATTTTAGTTACAAATTTTCCTATCAGAGCTTCAAACCACAAAATCCGCTGATAAAATATTTTTACCCGCAACTTTATTTCCATCTTATCTTACATAGATATATTTATAATGTCTCTCTCGATATTGTCACAAGACTGTATTTTTTATTTTGTCTGATTAAATTTTCTGCACAAACAACATGATAATGGCGAATCTATATATAGATTACAACTAGATGAATTCGCAACGTTAGTGGTAAACAACCGATACGAGATGAATACATACAAATATAAGTAATGTATGCGATAAACAATCTTTAATTATATATTATATAAGTAAACATTTACAATTGACAAAGACTGATTACACAAATTATGTTGTTTACGAACGTTATTTTATATTTGATTACATTATCTTATCAATAATGGACGGCAAATAAATATTGGATGCTGGATGAAAACACCAAAGTGTAAACATGAAAGGGGGCGGAGACCATTAATCAAGTGATCGATTTTTAAAAATTTTTTTAGGCCCTTCCTCACCCTTGGTGATACTCAAAATTTCAAAATTATACCCTCCCCCCATCGTGTATTTTTAGTTACGAGAAAACCATTGTAAAATTTTTAACTTTTTTTGAAAATGTTTGGTTTTTTTTTTGAAAATTCTGGTAAAAAATAAATACACGTAATATCTCACTATTTCTTACCTCTCCAACATGATATTTCGTGATTTTTGTCAAACCACTCCCCCCCCCTTCTTTATCCCAAGAACCCCACGTGATCAATGAACGCCCCTCAAAGTGTTAAGACAAATTATAAGACAATTTTTGCCCCCAAAGTGTTAAGACAAATTATAAAACCATTTTCCTCTCCAAAGTGTTAAGACAAATTA